TCTTTCTAGCAAGTCAAATTATTTACAAGATGGCCCAAGTGGCAGTTGCAGGCCAGCGTCCGATCTGGAGGGCAGTTATCATCACACTCTGCATCTTGTTAGCATTCTCAGCCAAGGTGTCAATGGCTGCTTTCCAACTGGGACCTTACTCTGACAAGAGAATGCAGTACAAGCTGGGGAAAGCTTTTTGATCAGTTCAGTTCACTTCTTCCCTCCAAACTGGTGTTTGGCGGTAAGCTGCCAGCAAGCTCAGGAATTGCACAGGGAGCGTCATCACTCTGGGAATTCACCCTCCTGAGCAGGAACTGCTCCTGGACCGTTCCTCTGCCACACAGCAGAGAAATCCCTCTGGTGACTTCTGCCTTAATTATATTTAAGAAATTCAGAGTCTAGTCTGTGTTCCATTATAATAATAGCAATAATTAAAAATACTTCAAACGACGAGTCCTCTAAACCTGCTGTTCCATCCAGGCTTTTTGGCATCGCACACTTCCTTTCTTGACTGACATCCTCAGGGAACGATTGATGGTTGTTCTATTCTACTCCTGTTGCAGGGCTGTGCTGCGCTCTCTCAGCACATGTAAACTGCTAGGTAATATTTGTGTTGGCAACTAACTTACATACTTTATAGAAACAGACCTCTATTTGACCCTCCATCCAGCTCCCACACACAATTTGGCCCACTCCTTTAAACTGCTTCCTTCTGCTGAAACACATACGCTGTTCCATACCTCGGTTTGTAGCCTGTTGAAAAACTGCATATCCAGAACAGAGCTTATGTGCTTAGAGAGAGCAACTCGGCTACAAAAAGCCAAGCCTGCAGAATGTCCTTATACAAGAATATTGGAGAAAATTAATATAAAACTTGCATGTACAGGTCCGGGTATTCCTTCTACAGAGATTGCTCCAACCGAACATTTCTATGAAAAAAACCCTATGAAAAGCTCTATGAAAAAAAGACATCAACACACAGATTTCTGTGATAAGACTCTGATAGCTATATCATGCTTTGGGGGGGTAGGTTTGGGTTTTTTTCTTTAAAATACAGTTAAATTCTAGCTATTTAGGCAGTAATATCACCTCAGAATAGACTTTCACACCAGAACTCTTCCTTCCTTGCCCAAAGCACACCATGCAGAATAAAAAATAAGCCAACAAAGTAATGCGTCCAGGTGACCAAAAGAATTGCCATTATCCATTTAAACCGTGGCAGTTTATCAACAACTCCATTTAAAGCCAACAGAGCTAAACCAGAATAAAAGTGATGCAAAAAGAGGCGAAATCTGACTGGCACGCGCCAGGGCGAGCGCAGCTGCAGTGCGAGCGGAGGACTGTGCAGTCGCATCATGTGACAGGAGCGGCGCTGGCAGCAGAGGAGGGAGAGCTACAGCCCCCGTCCTCCCACCTTCGCAAAGCTGTGCCTTCAGTGCAACGTTACGGACAACACAATTTCATTCCAATGCAGAACTGACTCAGGGCATGAGCTTCTCAATGTTTTGAATCGTTATTTTCCCTTTGTATTACTTCCCTCCACAAATAAAACAGTGACAGCCGTGAATAGCAATACAGGCAAGCTATGTATTCCTCCCATTGCTAAGCACTTTTAGCGTTTTATCACTTGTAGATCTAGTTTCTCAACTGAGCATGGTGAACCCAGAACACGGTGCTGCTGTCTGTATCATTCTTACACGTAGATCTTAGCCCAACTAGTCATCCTTGTGATAAAATCTTCCAATGTTTGTGAGGGACATGGATTGCCAATTGAATGTTGATGCTGTATTATACCTATATTTCAAGATAAAACAACAATCACAATCTCCTTTGGAACACAGCAAAATATTTATTCTCTCCGTATAGTTTCTATGAATGTTTTTTATCTTTTCTGTAGCAAAGTACCTGGCTATCATATTTGTGTACACTGTCCGTATTATTTTGGCAGCCCAGGACAATTGCAGAATTATGCTCTTTGCTTCTAGTTAAGCAACTCATCGTTTCTTTCATTTAACATAAATTGTGATCCAGTTTATCAAACCATCTTAAAAGAGACCGACTTATCTGATTTGAAAACAAAGCATCTCTTTCTGTACGAACATGATCTGTAGTCAGGTGTCATGCTTCTTAATCGCTCCCTCAACAGTGTGAGCAAGGCAAGTTACAACTGTTACACAACAGGGTTCACACAAGGCGAGAAGATGCACCGGGCAGCCACCGCATCTGCCAACTTCCATGGCAAGATCCACCCCAGGATGATCTTCTATGATTTCCAAAAGCTGCTACCAACACTGCGGTTCTGGTGCTGGCAGGAATGGTGGGAGAGCTACGCGTGCTAGGAGACTGACTTGTACCAGCATTTTAGTCCAACGGTGCTGCTGTGCGTTACCTTAGACAAGATGCTGAAAATTATGGATTGCATTTATACAGCTCTTGCAAAAACGAGCCATTTTTTATATTAAGGAATCCATTTTGCAGGTTGGAAGACTAGAACTGCTTAGCCGAGACACAGCTTGAGCAAGCAAGCTTGGAGCCTGATTATTAAAATTACAGAAGTGCAACTCAGACTTTGACAAAAACAGGTCCTATTCTGTGGTGGGCAATTAGACCCAGACTCTGAAAACCTGCAGTCTCAATCCTGAATGTTTTATCTGGGGCAGCCTTTGGTTACTGACATTTTTATAGCCAGTAACGGGCAAGAAATCTGGGGTGATGACAACACGTAACAGTCATCCAGCTTCTATCCCCAAGGGCATTTCACATCACCTATTGCCCAAAGCATTTCTCGGTACAAAACAAGAATTTGGTGAAGAGGGAGTTGCTGAGATAAAAGTTTAAAAACAGAACAAATCCACAATGGTTCCGTCAAACTCGCAATTTGGATATCCAGCACTGCACACACAGTTGCTGTAAAATCCAGCAATATTTCATCCGAAATGATTCCTTTGCTGATGCAGAAATGCAGCTACCTGTCAAAGGCACCCGAACCCCTACAGCCTCCCCAGCTGGGAGAGGCGGGGTGGCGAGAGGGAGGATAAGGTAAAGAATGGTAGAAGTTAATAAAGAGGGGGCCGTTTCCATAATCATTGCAGTCAGGTCGCGAACCCAGGCCTAGGCAGAAAACGTGCCACATCGTATTTCTCTTCCCCGTTAACGGCAAAGACAGCGGTGAGCGCGGCTCCGTGCGCCCAGGCTGAGGGCCTCGGCAGCCTCCGCCATC